GCCCCCCCCCCCCCTTCCATCCCTGGGGGCTCCCCCAAACCCGCTGCTTCCCCCGGGCTGAGCAAAGGCTTCCCCGCGCGATGGCAGCATTTGCTAAATCTCCAGCGCCAGCTGGAGATGCCTCAGGTGTCTGCTTTGTTTTGCTTCTCTCTTATGAAATGAAATGAGAGGAAATAAATTGTAGCACAGCTCCCCCGCCCGACTTTCTGTTCAAATGCCAGTTCTCAGCTAAGGCTATTGTTCTGCAGAGTTTCATTTTAAACTGCTTTATTAGACACTCTAAAATATCACTTCCTTGCTCTCGAAGGCAGCCTGTTCCTACAAGAGAGTTAAAAGCTGAGGGCTTGATCGCAAAGGCAAAATTTTGTTGCTCTCCCAAATCAGCTGACTGCATTTTTTAATTGAAGGCAGCCCTGGGAGTGGCGGTGTATTATTAGCCGTGCCGGTGCCTGCTCCCCTCCACCCCAGAGGCAAGCTCTGCTTTTGCATTGCCGAGGCAAGAGGTTCAATTAGGTTTTGGCCTTCTCGCAGAAGCGCCCATCAAGCGCTTCAGGCTCCTTGTATGTGGAGCGAAGAATTGAGCCGAGTCAGTTCCCACGTCCTCCCAAATGTTGCTTTTCCTTGTGTCTGGCTGCAGATGCACAGCTGGGAGCTGGCGTGGAAAATCTCCATAACTCCAGTGCCTTCGGTTCCCATCAGAGAGGAAAAAATATTTTTATTGTAGCTATAAACACGGTGTAGGTAAGGCAGGGGAGATGCTGCCCCGACCTGAGCCTGGGGCCTCGGTCTGGGCGCTGCAGAAAGGAGCTGGTTCCCAGAGAGTGATAATTTCACCCGCGTTGCCCCCTCCTGCTCCTGAGGCGCTGGTTCCTGGCTGGGGAAGCAGCAGAGCTCTCCAGGGCGTTGCACTAGCTTTTTCTCCCAAGGCTCCTCACCGCTCAGCGAAGGAATGAACCTGAGCTTTGATACAGCCCCGGCAGCTGCCATGTCTGTGCTCTCAAGATGTCAGCAACGATTACTCATCTCCAGAGCTCCCGGTGCGGAGCAGAGGGGAAGGGAGGACTCAGCCACGTCTCCTGGCACCTCTGGCCACACGATGCTTATTCCCCTCTGGCATCGGTGTGCTCCGGGGATGCGACAGCGTGCTCTCACGGCCTTCATCCTTGGCTCTGAGCCGCCGTGGAGCCTGGCAGGGAAAGGCAGGTGGGGCTGGCACAGCTGCAGCGGGCGAAGGAGCCGGCGCGGTGACTCCCACGGCAGCTGCAGCGGTGGGAAGCAGCACGGTTTCATTCCGGCTGTTACAAAAGGTACCCTTGAAAAACAGGCAGGAGAAGGCAGACTGCGGCGCAGCCACCCGCGAGGCAGGGGCTGCCACGTGAGCACAGCCTTCACCTTCAGCTCTCGGGTGCTAAGGGGCCGATCCATCGTGGTTTTATACCCGTCATAGCGTCTGCTTGGCGAGTCTGACCCCGTGGTGGTCTCCTCCAGCCCGGTGCCACGATGGCCAGTGGCTCCTCCATCTCGGAGAGGGGCTGTGGGAAGACTGGCCGCTCCCATCACGACAAAGCATGCTGGCACTTCTCCTCAGCGTGGCTCCAGCCTGGTCAGCCTTCCCGAGCTGTCATCTCTTGGGTGATGGCCAAAGCATCGCTGCGGGGGTGTCAGACGGGGACCCCGGCAACCCTCGAGCCGCCCAGCGCTTCTCAGAGCTTGTTCTTGGAGGGGGACCAGCAAGGAGAAGGGGGTTACTGTCGCTGCTCTGAATTAGCACACCTGGTGCGGCGGTTCCCAGAGAGCGAATTAGTTAAATTAATGAATCCTCCCTAACGCCAGAATTCAGGGAGCTCCCTAATACGTGTCAGTTGACATGACATTAATACTCTTTTCTGTGACCTTTACATCGCCATCCAAGCCCAGGTTCCCCTTTTTGCCCTTTGCTGTTCCCTTTCATATTTAATATTAAATCTGATTTATCTGCCAGAGGGCTTTATCGTGCGCTTAGACAAATCGACAGGATTTCACAATCCCTCCCCGGGGCAGAGCCAGGGGTGGGAAAAGCTTCAGCCCGAGGGGTAGAAGTCATCTTTTT